TGTATATCAAAACCCACTATTGCCTTCCAGAAGTAAACTAATTCCATGCATGGGTCACTGTTATCTTACTCAAGTGTTATATATCTGCAATACCCCACGTATGTCCGAAACAACGTATACTTTACTCTGTCTATGCCAAATCCACAATACATCGTTTATACACTATTGCCATTTGGAAGTCATTTAAATTCATGTATGGGTCATGGAATGCTCGTAACCAACTTACTTATCCTTACCAAAAAGTAGGTCTTACCAAATTCTGTTTTTAACAGTATATTCCTTCTTTTCAATTAACCACCCTAACTTAATTTGTTTTCTTCGTGTCCTTCATGGCCGTTAATAAACTGTTAAATTGCAAACCCAAGCAAATCACTATACGACTTCATCAAGATGTTTTACTACTAGGCGTATGCCGTAACGTTTTGTAAATTGCTAGTAATTTATCAAATATTTATGGCGTATAATAAAAATTATTGTTTTTTTATTTGAGTTGTTGATGGAAAGCCCCAACCACCATTCGAAAGTGGTGGCGGGTGTATTCGGCAGTGGCTATGGGCAACGTTGTAATATACCAATAATATTGCGATTCATAATTTATGGTCATTTGTGGCATGTAAAATAATTTACCACTGTCAAGGGTTTTGTCGCACATTCCACTTGAACTGTGTTTAGTTTTTGGTTTCTTTTTATGCGTTTTAAACTACTTTCTTAACAGACTTTGTGGTTGGTAGACGTTTGAATTATATTCTTCATTTCACTTTAATATTTCATTTGTATTTTATATTAAAAAAAGTGGGTTCCTTGCTTAGCATTGAACTTGAATTGTTTTTTCTTTTCATTCAGAATTTGAAGGACATCTTACTAAATCAAAAGGAATATGAAGAAAAAAACGTCACTTACAATTGAGTCCTTGAGTATAAACTTTAATGGAATTCATATGGCAATTTGCAACTTAGCTGGACGTCTAATATGCAGACTATAGAAAAAAAAAACAAACGCAAGAAGAAAAAATCAAAAACTAATTGCATAATAATAAGTGTTTTTTTCAGTAGCCCAGCTATATGACTGGTAGCCACCACTGGGCTATAATAAAAAATAAACGCATATTAAGCGTTGATGTAGATGTACTCTAAGTCGGAACTACTTATTCAAGAGGAAAAGGAAATCGCCTTGGCTGTAAAGTGGCTTTTATCATGATTGTTCTCTTCCATTGCATATGCAATTGTGTTTTAGTTTTTTTTTTGCAGGCAGTTGCAGCGTTTTGTTGTTCTGTTCTTAGCTGTTTACAAGAGGTGTAATGAAAAATTACCATTTGTAATCATAATCCGTTATAAACATGTAACACTTTCAAGGAACATTAATAATACAGTAGGTCATAATGTTTGTTATTAAGTCTTACCAATAGGTAGATAGTTGAAATCTAATTGTTGGAATATTACAAATAACTAAAAAACAAGTAAAAAAGTGTCAGTCGACCTTTGGTTTGCGGGGGTCTTTGGAATTACACACAGGATTTATTATTTGTTTGTATAAACATTTATAATTATTGACAAGTTTGACCATTTGTGAGGGAGGTACCGGAAGGATTGGACCAATTTGTGGGGGAGGTACCAGAAGGAGTAGACCGATATTTCCATTGGAAGAAATTCGAGGTTTATCGTGCGCACCAGTCGGTCATACAGACGGAAGGACGGACATTTGTAAATCGACTTCAAATTGTCTGAAACGGAAAACCAATATTTCGATGAGGCAAATTTTAGCCATATCAAAGTGTATGTATATACGCTACTTAGAGCGGGACGACTTACGTCAAAAAATACGAAGATGGAGACCGTAATTTTCTACCAATTCTCCACAGATGGTCAACGATTTTGTAAAAAATATACCTTAATATATAAAAGAGCTGTTTTAGAAATTCCTACTTATGTGTATGAAAAAATAATAAAAGGTACTAAATTTGGTACGAGGAATTAGGACTACTATTGGAGTATAGGATTGATGTAGCTTTACAAAATCTTACTTACGAAAAGTACTAAATGGTACATGTGGAATCATTTAGTACATGTTGGATTTAGGTGAACAGATAAAGCTGGAACCTTGAAATTGGGAATTAAAATGAATGTTGGATTGAGGTATTTTAGGAAATTCGTACTTATGGTTACGGAAAGTACTAAATGGTACTAAATTTAAAACAATTTGGATTTTGGGTGAACGGATGGGGCTGGAATCCTGAAATTTGAAATAAAATTACTGTTGGAGTGCAGGATTGACATATGGAGATAGTTTTGAAAATTCGTAATTATGTGTACTAAATGGTACTAGATTTGGCACAATATAAATACGATTGAACGCATACAGATGGAAAACTTAAATTTGGAATTAAAATTACATAATGAAGATAGTATTTGAATTTTGTACTTGTAAAGACAAAAAGTACTAAATGGTACGATTTGTTTTGTGTGAGCGGCCATTGCGGGAATCCTAAAATTTGAATTTAAAATTATTGTTGAAGTGTAGGATTGAGGCATGGAGGTCGTTTTGAAAATTTATGTGTATTAAATGTGGTACTAAATTTGGTACAACGGATAAGGACGGGAAACTTATGTTTGGAACGGGTAGAACTGGAATCCTGAAAGTTGCAGCTAATATTAATGCCGGAGTGTAGGATTGAGATAGTTTTGGAATATGGGTACGAAAAGTACAGAATGGTACCAAATCTGGTACAATTTGGGTTTTAGTGAACAGATAGAGCTGGTGATCAGATAGATCTATTTGAAAGCCGGATTGAGGAAGTTTTAGAAATTCGTATTTATGAGTATTAAAAGTACTGGATTTGGTACAATTTGAACTTTGGTGGATTTATCATTACTGTTAAAGTGTAGTATTGATGTAGTTTTAGAAATTCATAGCACTAACTGGTACTAAATTTAGTGAAATTAGAAGTACGACTAATATATAGAGGTAGTATTGAAAATCTGTGCTTATGTGTTCAAAAAGTTCTGAATGGAATTAAATGTGGAACATGTAGGTATTTGGTAAAGTATATACATTATTTTTTGGTTAATTGCACATCAAAATTTCGTTCAATTAACCGAGGAACCAATTACCCGAACCCGCTTAATTGAATAGTTTGTTCAATTACAGTAATCACGTATAATTTGAACTACTAATGATTTAAAAAAATCCAATGTCAAATACAAATTACGCTTTCTCGAAGTTTTTCCCAAGCAATAAACATATGTTTTGAATTAGTAGAGTCTTTTTCACAAATTATGTCAAATATGTATATAAAAAAATGACAGATTATTTTTCAATTATTATTATGCAATTAACCGGTGAAAAGTAAAAGGAAATTTATTTTTGATGACATGAATTTTGAACCAATTAAGCGGGAAAATCAATTAACAGGGTTTAATTATCCCAGAAAATTTACGAGTATTTTCCTATGAAATATTTTTTGCTCCATCATGTGGTTCAATTAAGCATGGAAACCAATTAACCGAAAAATACTGTATATTTGGAATTCTAATCACTTTTGAATCTTTATTATGAAAATAAGATTTAGACTTGGCAAATTAGTGCTTATGTGTATGAAAAGTACTAAATTTTAATAAACTTCATATTACAACGTTACCTAAAATCCAACGAAGCGTACAAAAATATTCAACATCCCCACAATGGCAAAAAGTTTTGTACGGCCGTACTACCCAAATACGTCGAGTCCATTTCTCTTAGCGAACTAAACAAAATCGCGAAATAAAATTAAGAAATTATGAAATGTGTTTAAATATTTCATATTCTTATTGAAAAAAATTATATTTCTTTATGTTTTGTTTTTAAATACCAAAAAAGAAAAAAACAAAACTACGTTCTGTCATAGTTGAATTTTTTCAACTTTGAAAATTCGTACGTCGACGTATTTCGGTAACATTCGTATAAATACATGTGTTCTACTTTTGTGGCGAAAAACGTCGAACGAGCTAGTTGAATTTTAGGTAAGGCTGTTAGATGTAAGAATAGAGGTGAATTTCGGAATTATAGTACAATAAATTATGCGGTATTCAAGATTTTGCTAGTTTCATATAAACCGAATGGAAAATCCAGTTTGCTCGAAACTTGGGACATCTTGCTATTTGTACTAAATATATATATTTAGTGGAAATATAGGCTATATACGTCTATTTGCTTTGTTATCTCCCCCTCAAAATCCCCTTATTTTGGAAAAATATTAAATCAGTTAACAACTAGTCAACAACTCAATTCTGTTACAAAACTTTAAAATACAGAATATCGGAAAATACCGTTATATATTAAGGCTATACCTAAAACTAGAACCATAGCATAATTTGTTTGAACTTTAAGCACCGCAAAAAAACTTATTTAAAGAGGAGTAACGAACGAAATGGCAAAATTATTATATCCACCATGCTATTATGGTGGAATGCCAAAAAAAAAAAAAAAAAAAGAAAATAATTTGGATTACCCACAACCATGTCAGGGCATCCATTTATTTCTCACCTTTCCTTTGTTTTGTATTTATTTGATTTTAATTTATTACTTTTCTTACATTTCTTTTTAATTATCTTGCATGTTAAAGAGTAAATTTTGAAATTTAATTTAAACATGAAATGAACATTTGACTAAGAGATTTATGTGTATGGTAAGAGATCTTCGCATGTGAAAGTAAATCTAGGCTATATTTGGTTTGATTATAAATTCGTGACTAGAAGTTTGTTGAACAATACTTCCGACAATTCATTTGGGTTATTTTTTGTTGGTTTGTTTTTCATTTTTTGTAATTTCCATTAAAACAAAAGAAATTTCTTTGTGTTTAGCTTGGAGAAATGACCAAACAAAATTTGATTATTTCTCAAAGGAAGTTGTCGCATTTTCTGTTGAGTGAAGGTTAGCAGAAACCACACACTCCAAAACTAACCTAACTATTTGATGAGGTTTGTAATTAATGTCGAGTATTATTTTCTTATTGTTATTACCTTTAGTCCCATTCAATATACCACCATTACAGAGGGTATTGTCAGTCTCCTACTGCTGAATTTGAAACGTAAGGCTGCCACGCTAAAGGATAAGGAAAAATTCCAATCACAATTTGGCCTAAAAACGCAGCAACATCCCATGATTACTTTACTGCAAAATCCAGGAGTTAACATGAATGACGTAGCGAATAAAATTAATGGCATTTGTAATCATCATGACAAACAGTAAGTGGCTATTTTTGTTGACAGTTAAAATCAAAAATAAAATTAATGCTAATTTTTATATTTGCGACATAGGATCAAAGAATATAGCATAGAATATTTGCGTCCAGTCTATTTATATATTTTGTGCAATCCACAAACATTATCCGATTCCAAAACGATATGGACCGGTCTTCTGGCATTGAGTAAACATCATGTGGAGGCAAAGACCTTAATGCAAGAAGTCTTGTCGTGGAGTAAAATAACAACATCCCAAAATTGCCTGTTCACATCTACCTTGCTCATCGAAGCCATTGAACATTTCTTAAGCCAAAAAGATTTCAAACAATCCATTGAGTTATCGGTATTTCAAATGTTGGTTGTAAATCATTTGGTCAAGTTCGGTATAGATCCGCGACCCAGTTTACATTGTACTCTGAGAGTTTTGCACTCGACACGCGAACATTCACAGAGCCATTATAATGTTATGTTGGTCCTGCTCTCGGAAAGTTTACATTTGCTATCACCCATCTATTTGCCCGACCTGCTGCGTATCATCTCCTTTATTGTGGTTCAGGAAAACTGTGGGCATCAATACATTCTGAACATGTGTCTAGATGGTATCATCCAGTGGATGTCTCAGACTGCATTCATACCTGCAGATGGTCTGGCCATAGCACATCAAATTGTACGTAAAATATTGGATGTCATAAAGGGTAAAGCCACCACCACACCTGTACAAACTAAAAACTTTGAGACGGCAACCATCCGATATTTCCACCCAGATATAGCAATGGCATTTGATTTGGCCAAACTGGTGGAATCATATGATGAATCAGAAGATAAAGATGTTTATACATTTGTCGATACGCTTAATGTTAAGGCGAACACGACATTTTGTCAGCGTTTACATTTATTTTTGCGTGCCTTATTTCTGTCGCGCGAACCATCCGTGGATTGTTGGTTTAAAATCTACGAAGTTATTTTGGAAATAATAAAAGTTAATGGCGATATTGCATATGATTTCCTTATGACTTATATTTTCAAATTGGCCGGTGAACATAATCCTGAATTGCAAATGGAACTTTTAAGAGGTTTGCCAAATTTTGCCATATCGAAGGTAAGTTGTGGTATGATTTTTTTTTGAAATTGTTTGCATTTTTTAATATTTATAATTTATATTTTATTTAGGACAATATACCCATGATATTGAATACCATACGCAATTTGTGTAGCTATAATCCAACCTTTAGCATGGACTTGTATTTGAAACTTTGGCGTGTGGAATCACGAACCTATCCGTTTTTGGTGAAGTTGCTGTCCTTGCCTTCCAAAGATGTCAAATGTAATAAATGGGAATTCGATGTGGCAAAAACATATACCATTCGTGAAATATGCTATGAAAAGTAAGTAAATTAAAGTGTCAAGATATTTAACGAAAAATAAGACATTTTGGAAGGGGTTTCAACTATGTCTATTAATATTTCCACGAAGGCATGCAAGTCAGGAAAAACAAAATAAATATATTAGAGATCCCCTGTTATAATGGTACATTGTCGCGATCAGAACAGATATTAAATTTGATTACAAACTTAATAAACACTGACACTTGATCGTATTTTGAAGTTGCCTGCCAAAAGTAGGTCCTCTGACACCTGCCGCAGAACCGGGATCGCTAACACAGAGAATAGGTTAACGTGTTTAATAAAGAGAGCTGTATGCCGCTAGCGTTGTTTGCAATTGCAAGTGTTGCTTCTATGGCGTTTTTCTTCATCTTGTAACCAGAAATATCTGTCGGTTACAGTTACTGTGTTTTAACTTGTCCTTTTCGTCCCTTTTTCACTATAAATGTTATATCGGTTACATGGCTTCCAATGAGAACTCCAATTTCACAAAATCACAAAATAATTTCAAGTTTATGATTTCGGATGCATTTGGACTCCTGACTCATTTGTATAATAGTCCGCTCCGCGTTCAGGACACTTAGCTTCCAAAGAAAATTCGAATACCTTTTCCTTCAACTGTCATTGAAATGGAGAAGTCCATGCTTATTGGGAAATTTTACTACTTTTGACAGGTAGTCGTAGGAAAATTTATGTGGGAGCAATTTGAGAGGAGTATACATAATATCATAAAGGGTTGGTATGAATCTACCACCTCAGAATAGAAAAGTTTTTCATTTATTTCTAAAAAGCACAGAGGTGAACGTAATCCACTTTTTGGTGAGTCTCTGAGTTAGACTATCAGCGTTTAAACTGTATGTTGTTTTTTCTTAAATGTCGGTGGACTAATAAGCTGTACATTAAAGTTCCCCTTGCAAACACCAAATGTCTCCATTCTTAATGAAGATTTTCTCCCATTGTTGTTAATACACATAAGAATAAAAAATAATATTTAAACTCTTTGTTTCGCAGACCCACACAACACGGTTCCGATTTGGTATCCCACCTCTCAGATATTCTCAACACCTGTACAGATGATGCTGGCGATTTACCAACCTCCCTAGCCCTAGATGCTATTGTAGCATTGTGTGACAGTAATACCGTTAATATAACCTCAACATGGCGTGTATTGAGTAGTAAATTCCGACATGAAAAACGACCCAGGGCTCTGAAGTCGTTATACAAATTCTTTGCTCATGTTCCATTACTACAAACTCCCACATTGGAATTTGAACAACTGGTTGATGAAGCTCTCGATCAATTATGGTTAACCATAAGTCGTTCTGATAGTGATCCGGAGATGATACGTGAAGCTTTGGAAGCCCTTAAACACTATGAAATCGGTACACTATTGACCCTTAAACATATACCACCACAATTCAGGCATGATTTACATGTTGCACGAGAATATAAAGGACCGAATGGTCGAGAAGTAGTGGATCTCGAGCAGGAAATGATACCCGGAGAAGTATGGGTACAATTGTTGCAAAAGATACGCCCCGAATGTGGAGCAGCGGCTGCTGATTTAATTGCTCATTATATTTATGGTGAAATAAATGAATTCCGTGGTGGACTTTATCGTCTGCCAGATGGCAAGCCCGAACCTCGTAAACTACAGGGCTTATATCCACAAAGTCCTTTGCGTGCAATTGTCAGTTATTTGGTTAATCAATCGCGTTATGGAGATCATGTTGCTGAACCCATCGCCGTCACCAATGCTCTGAGAGCTATATCGAAAAAGTTCCCTAAGCCCATACCACCGGTAGATTGGAGTTTCCTCCATTCCTTTTTCCATTTGTCGTTTGACACCAGAAAATATTGTATCCTTATAGCGAAAAATCAGCTATTACATTCCGGCACCGCTAAACGTTTATTGGAGAATTTCCTCATGGAATTCGAACCAAATTGTTTCGAAGAAGATTTGTTGCTGTTGTTCTCTTTATTGCCGGAAATCTCCAATGGTGTTAGTTTGACCATATTGAAAAATTTTGCAGAAAAAGTTGCCGTGTACTGTTTTAAAGAATCCCAGCTGGCTGGTTTTAATGAAGGATGCCTCTTTGAGAAATTTATGGATAGTGTGAAATATATTTTCATGGGCAAATGTGAGATACCAGAAGTGTTGGATATATTCACGTTGATTGTTGAACGTTATATGGATTCCATGGATATCGATTCGAAACTATTTCAACGTTATACTGAAGCTGTGGCAGTCTTACCTAACAATGCCATTGATGGTCTCACTTTGCCTTCCAACTGGTGGGAAACACCCATTGGGAAATTGAAAAAGGCAACAGTGATACGTTCGTATTTGGTATTGTATAATGGAAATCTGAATAATCCTCTGAAATGGCTTAATCCCATCATTGATGCCTATGCCACACGCAAAGAAGATCAATTGTTTTTCTTTAGACACTTAACCTCAGTGCTGTATGCCTTCAACAGCGATGAACAGTCCTGTAATTGGATAATGGAAATGTTTATACAAATTCAAGCTCTCTTGGCGGAATCATCGAATAAAGAGAAATTGGAAAAGGTTTTGTATTTATTAGATATTTTCATACTGTCCGTGGATGTGTTATCCGGTTGTGCTGTGCTATTGGGTAATTTAGATGTTGTAGCTACACAGCGCAACGAAAGATTCCAAATATTTCCAGAGAGTATGCAATTCTTGTGTGATCACATCTTTTGGAAAGATCAAGAAGCGAAGGTATGACAATTTTTGTTTTATAATTTTGTAACATATTTTTTTAATATATTTCCCATTTTGCAGATTTATGAGTTCCTTTATAATCTCTACAAGAACCCAGTTATACCCGAGATTTATACTTCCATTTTCAAAGACGCCATTATATGTTCCCGCAACAAGCCTTACTTTGATGCCAAGGGTATTTGGACAAAATATGTTGGCATGCGAAAATGAGTTTTGGATGTGCGAAGTCGGTGTTGTACTGCTCAGTCAATATTATTATATACTCTAATGATATATAAATACGAATTCATCTTACACAAGTGCACATTTAATGAAACTGCCATTTTTTGTACGCTTATATGTTAATTTTTGTAATTATAACAGTTGACAGTAAATAAAACCGTTAAGTTATTTATACAACAATTATAATTGTGAAGTACAGTGAACTCTCGATAATGTACACATCTAATACAGTGAACTAATTAATGTCGGGTTAGTTCATATTTTAGAATTTGTTCACATTTTCGATATAACCAGCTTATTTGCCGCTAATTCCCTGATTGTTATCAATACTTTAATGTCAGTTTGATGGTTCACATTATGGAGAGTTCATTGTATTTCGTTAAAATATGAAGTGCATGGTTTGCGGGGTTTTCCTATTCCATATTTGAATGTAATCTAACACATTAATAAAGTAAAAGTGTTTTTTCTGCATTTCTTTTATTGGAATGTTGAAGTAGTTTCAGGGTAACTAATTACATTTATGGATATTTTAGTTAATTTGCATAAAACTGTAGAACATATGTTTTCAAGTAACAGATGAGAGAAGATCCACAATACAATGTGTATACACAATTTTACTGTCTTATTCAAAAAGTCAGTTACAAGAGCCTTATCGGTTACCAAATTAATTTTTTTTTTGGAAAGTTTGGGCAATCTAGTTCACTTAGCGGATCGACCTTTCTCATTCCTTTTTTTAAAAGGAACTAGTTCCTTTGCTCCATATAGCTCCATTGATAAAGGAGCAAAAAGTGTCAGTCGGCGTTACAGTTTGGATCAAATCGGAAATTCCATTTATATTGCCATAAGTAATGGAGCGTTGATTCAGTTTTCGGACTGGATCTTACTTAGCTGACTTGAGACAGAACATTTGTTCTATAAGCCTAGTTTAAAAAGGATTTCCAGGCGAGTCGGTCTTATGCGCAGCTCTTTAAATTTGAAAAACCATGTTCCAAAATGTTGTCTTTCGTTTGATCTTTCCATAGAATTCGTGGCCTTCCTTTCTCCGTGAACCATCAGTTGGCTCGCTTTTATATGCCTTTTGATCTCGGGCGTTCTCATCCATTCTCACATGACCTAGCCAATGTAGTCGCTGCAGCTCGATACGTCTGACTATGTCGATGTCCGAGAATAGATGGTACAAGTTATGGTTTATTCGACAGCGATATTCACCGTCGACGAAGATCGGCCCATAGATCTTCCGGATAATGTTTCTCTTAAACACTCCAACAGCTGCCTCACGTGCTTGCGCAAGTACCCATGCTTCAGGTCCATACAACAGCACGGGTAGTATCAGCGACTTGTAGAGGGGGAGTTTGGTCTGGCGAGAGGTGGACTTTGAGTTGCTTACTCAGGCCATAGTAGCATCTGTTGGGCAACACTATTCTTCTCCGGATTTCAATGCTGATGTTATTAATTTTGCAGGAATGCCGAAAGCAGACATGGCTTTAAACACCTATGAAAGGATAAGGCTGTCGAAGGTGAAATGTCGACAGGTGAAATAGTCGAGTAGGTGAAATGTGTCGATGTGGTTTTGTGGACTTGTCGCAGAGTGAAAATTTGGTCAACGGTTCGGCTGGTAAACGAGTTAACTTTGTATTTAGCCCTCTTACACTCTGATAGCAAATAGTAAGAAAATTATTTAGTCAAATATTTCGTTATTTAATTATGAAGCCGTTTCTGGTTTCCGAGGCAATCGAGCCAAATTTTCTGTCCTTTCTAGAAGTTCTTTTACGAATGCTCTAGCAGGACAAACATCTCTCGAGATCACTTTGTACATAAATACATCTTCATGCATTAATATTTTAAATGAAGACCTACACTCTGAATATATTGATCGAAGCTTATAGCATCATAAAAAGTAACTTCCCTCAATTTTTCATTTAATATAATAATTTATATCATCAGCCGTAGTAACAGGTGCAAACCACTTATTTTATCACAAAATATTAGATCAACAAACACAACAGGGTTGTCAAATTTGTATGATTTCCGGAGGGTAGCCAAATTGTTATAATTTCATTGGTATAATTTTCCTCCTTCCTTTTCTCCCGATAATTCTCTCTCGCATTGCGTGTTTCTACTGTTTGTAGGGTTGCCGTATACGACGCGTTTTTCATTTCAGTAGCATTACGACAGTCCTGATCGTACCATGGGTTTCTTGATGGTGGTCTTTTGTACCCAATTGTTACTTTTGTTTCATTTTGTATGGAGTGGGCAATTTTTTGCCACTGTTCATCTATATTATAATCTGGACAAGGAGTGCTTTCGATTAGCAAGTAAGTTGAACGGAGTAGGCTTCTGCTACATGTTGCTACATTAAGACGAGTGCGAACCTTGGCTGCTACAAGGTAGTTGTCCGAATCGATATTCGCTCCTCGGATCGATCGAACGACTAAAACACTGGATGAATGCCTTCCGTCTATCCCAACAGGATCGATTTGATTTTTCGTTGCTTGATCAGAAGAAATCCAGGTGGCCTTGTGTATATCGAGTTGCTTGAATCTGGTGCTGCTAACTACCATGTTTTTTCGCTTCTGATAAAATTTCGTAGCAGAATTTTAATGTCATGGCCATGGAGGCGATCATATGCTGTTTCTAGACGCTAGTAAAATATATCTTTGTTCTGGTCATCTTTGTCTTCCTTCGGATCATGGGCGTAAATATACGGATTAAAGCAACTCGTTCTTCTACTGGTGTGAATCTGGAGACGAGGTCTTTTATCTCCTGTTAAACATAAATCTGCAGCCAAAGTTATGTTCCGTTAAATGGCGCTTTGGCGGATGTACTGTATTATATACAGTGCGCGCATTCCAAGTGCAGATTCGCAGATCGTGGTCCTTTATACGTTTCATTGCTTTTTCATAGTGGGAGGGATTTTGCGAGTGGACTAACCAGTTGGTGTATTTGTGCGGGTCAAAAATATTATGATGTTGAAAGATTGGATGAAATTTAGATATTCCGTTCGCTTTAGTACTAGAATGTGGGCCGACATTTTACAGTCCTGATTAAAATATTAGATTGTGAAGAGTTTGGTTCAAATCGGTATGATTACTATATTTGGCCTGTTCACCTACTGCAAGAATCTACTAGTTTTTATACCCTCCATACTAACTTTGTCATTCCGTTTGTAACTCATCGAAATACTCATATTCTTGATCAGGGTGAAATTCTAAAACGACCTAGCCATGTTCACCCGTTCGTCCGTCTGTTGTAATCACGCTATCTTCTGAAGCAATTGAGATAGGGTGCTGAAATTTTGCAAAGGGTTGTCTTTTGTCTGCGGCAAGTCAAGTTCGAAGATGGGATATATCGGTCTACAGTCAGGTATAGCTCCCATATAAGGGTACCCCCCAATTTTCAGTATTTTGGGGTTCTTGAGCACGTTTTTCAACCGAATTCGCTGAAATTTGCTACATTGGGTTTTTATTGGGAACCAAATTTCTCCACAAAAATTATAAATATAGGTCCACTTTATCTGTTAGCCCCCATATAGCGGAACCCCTAATGTTCAGTATTTTAGGGGTTTTGATCATATTTTTCCACCGAATTGGCTGTAATATAGTATTTTGAGTTTTTAATAGGTACAAAAACTCTCCACAAAAAAATTTGAATATTGGTCCATTTTTTCGGATAGCCCCCATATACGGGTACCCCCAATTTTCGGTATTTAGGGTTCTTGAGCGCGTTTTTCAACCGAATTTGCTGTAATTTGGTATTTTGTAGTCGTATATGGTAACAAATCTCCTTCCCAAAAATTATTAATATTCGCAACCTTTTTGGGGTAGTCCCCATATAAACCTCTTTTTTATATTAAAATAGTTATCTGATTTTTTCCGCGTTTTAGGATTATCCCCATGTAGTCGCATTCCACCATAGTAGTGTATATATACTGTACTCGAAATATGGAATTCTAAGACGATTTAGCCATCTGTTTTAATCATTCTACCTTCGGGGGATATCGACGTAAAAACTAGAACGGTCATGTTCGAGAATGAATTATAATATATCGGCCCCCAGGTCGGACTATCCCCCATATTGTTATACCTACCCATATTCCGTATTTTTAATACCCTGTAGGTCTTTCATCAACTAGTTTACAAAATGTTTAGTTATAAAGAAATTATTAATCAACTGATTATAAATTAGCTAGAAAGTCATCTAAGACTCAACCACATTGAAACCAAAAATATGTTCATGTCATCAAAAACACAACACACGCAAAACAAGAAACCGTTAGAATTGCATTCCACACAACAACACCGAATGCAAAGATGAAGAAAAATCATTTTATTTGAAAGTTCGGAGAGTGAAGACGTGTAAATCGTAATTAATTGTAATTGTGCTCTTTAAGTGTGAAATTAAAAATAAATTGGTAAGTGTTTTAATAATATAATTGAAATTGAAAAAGCAAAGAGAAGAATCTGTAAATATAGATACATATTTTTTTAATTTGTAGCGCATATACAGAATATTTGTAAAATTTCTAACAAAGTCATCCAATAAAAACATGGAGTCCCCGCCAAAATCAGTGAAACGCCTCAGCATGAATTTAAGTAAGTAATTTATTATACAAATTTAAAACGACTATTCAAATTCGAATTTTAATTTCACTATATTTCAGATGTTCATCAACCTACCTAAAAGATTTCCAAAATGTTTTTGAGTGCCTTATGGACGTCCTGCGATCACTTCCAGTGGATCCAGAGAAAGAGCTCCAAAAGTCAGTCATTTATATTAATTTTCTGTGATGAATTATGTGACATATTTTATGTATTTCCACCTATGTATATATTTTTCCAATAAAAATATAATTTTATAATAAAATATATTGAATTCTGAACTGAAATTGTATATTGACTAACGTTATTTCATAGATTCAAACATTGCAGTATTGGTATAATTACAAATTAGCCAAGTTATGTTAGTAAATAGTTATATTAACATATACCAACTAATAGTCA